ACATGAAGCCAGCCTCTACAGGCAATAAAGCTCTGCATCAGCTTTTAGAAGTTTCTCTATGAATTCAGCTGTTATGAATGAATGTCCACATTTTTCAGCCCCAAGCAGCCCTGTTTTCTCACTCACGTCAATCCATTTACATCAGAAACATTCCCCTACAGCATGAGCATCATAGCTTTAGATTGAAGTGCATTCTGCTTTACGTTGTGGTACCAACATAGGGAGGTAGCTCCAAAACTTTCTGCGCCTGCTATTCCCCAAATCAGTTTCTACACAGTATGTGGCAGAGTACTCACCCACCCAGTTGTGGACATGTAAACAGTTAAGATAGCCAAAAAATAAAGAATAAAGCACCTACTATTCACTTGCACATGAATATAAGAGTCAGGTATGTAGAAAACACATTACTTATCCATCACATGGATAAGTTACTTGTAAATCGGAAATAAGATAAGCCAGTGGTAAAACCAATTTGATCAGTCAAGCAAGAATGCATCTTTTCATGGACTTAAATGAAATAACCAAGGTACGTAACTGTCTCTCTCAAAAACATCAATTGCTTATGCATTTCCACACTTTTTTAGCCACTGGGGGGTTGGGGGGTGTCTTCTTGCAACTTTAAGAGAGAACACGAGTTAGCATCAGAGCAAAACTAGAAGAAACGAAGAGGTTGTTCAGTGACAGAAGCATGTAGGGGAGGGGAAATCCAAATAATTTACAAGGAAGAATGGCCTTGGCTGCTGCAAAGTTCAGAAGCCAGAAGACTTGGGGTTGGTTTGTTTTCCTTCAAAATGGCCCCAGGCTGGCAGTGTGGTTTCCACGTCAAAACACCATACTTTCAATCACTTCCTAAACTGTTTTCTTGAGTGAGACCATAATAAATCTCTTTCTGTAGAGCTTGCTCTTTAACTTTCATTAGTGAGGAAAGGCTAATGACAGAGCAGAGGTATAATACTGCACCTTAAGGCTCACCTTCAGCTGTCTGTGAAGAGGTAGGTGGCTTAGACTTGCTGTCTAACCTTCCCTTCCCCCCATGCTCAGATCTGGCCCCGGGCTGCATTGCCCTTCCTACAGCATATAAAATAGTGATTTTCTTTCAAATGCTTTTTAAAGGGTTTACAAACAGATGATTAATCATATTTCCATATGTAAAAATGTACATGGGTACTCAGTAGCATTACTGCTGTGTGGATGCCTACAAAACTGCAAGAAGCTCAAGAGAAACCCAATTAGGCTACAAGAATTTACTGAGGTGTATTTCATTTTAACAAAGATATAACAAATTGACATGCAAGCAGACTCAAAGCTCACTACCACTTTCTTTCCTTATTCAGAAGGTGGAACATTGCCAGGCTGGTAATAAATGCTGTGAAATAATGCTTAGCAAGTAGGATCTCACCAAGCATTTCAGCACTATGACCAGAGGAATTACTAGTATCAGCTGCCAAACAAATGATCTCATATACCAAAGCTAACAAACTGTTACCAGATAGATATCCTGCAGTTACAACATGACATCCGCTCCATTATAGACACCAGAAGGAGCAGCTGATACTTAAAGCTGAAGAAACAGCCCATTTGTGAGTTTCAGCCACAGCCGAAATAACACAATCTTTCTTTTTTATAGAATCCACATAAAATTAAATTATTCCCCATTTCACAACATTCCTTCACTAAACATAGCAATATAAAAGAAATTTGATCAGAGGTTGCAATGTAGACATTCCACATTCAGCAGAGAAAAAAAATCAGTTTTCTAATAAATTCCACGGCATTTCTTTTTATTGTTACATCCCTGGATACAGGTACTTCATTAAAAAAACGAAAACAAACAACACAACAAACTAACAAAGACTGAAACTAGTATGAACTTAGCCCTAAGTTTATGGACAATGCTGATCTTTCTTGTTGAAAAGTACAACAAAAAACACTGATGTGAAATCTCATTCCAGGTGAACACAATTACAGAGGAACTGCTATAAATTCAACTACAATCAAACTATCTGCAACCCATACTCATTTCCTTAAAGTCATACCCCAATACATGCCTAGCACATGAGATGTTCTAGTCTTCAGATACTACATGCTTATAAAATACTCTACTTAATGCCCCAAATTTAAAATCTGTGGGGAGTAGGATGCTTTGGTTTTGCAGTAAAAGTCACCGTTCTGCTGAGCACATGACCCTGGTAGCACTCCAAAAATCTGTACAAACCACTCTAAATCAATCTGTAAGGGAAGTAACATTTGATAAAGAAATAAGAAATATTAGGGGAATTTAGCCACATTTCCCACACACAAAGTAATTAGGATTTCCTCAGTCTTCAAAGCTAAAAAGAAATATATTTAACTACAGTCACACAAGTGTCTCTGAAAGGTATGCGCATGTGTATGTATGTATATACGTATATTTTCATGTATGCACTAAACACATATACACACAATCACACATATAGATATTTTTAGTTAAGGGAAGCAAAAAGCAGTAGTAATAGAAACCAGAAGCTGAAGATCTGTGTACAAAACTGCTTAGAACAAATACGATATCATGTCACTAATACCCATCTGTTCTCCAGCTGGTTTTATAATTTCTCTTTTCAAAAAAAAAAGAATTAGCAAATTCTACAATTCTAACTACTACCTTTCTATCCCTTCACACTTCCATTATTTTGAAGGGAGACACAGGGCAGTAAAAGTCCTACTATCCCAATAGCTCTATATTAACATCCACACCTTGCATTTACCTTCTCTTCACCCAGCAACTAAGGGTTGTATGAACATGTAGCACAGACCAACAGGACTAGATCCATAGAGTGAATTAATTGGTACTAAGGACCTAACACCCACACTATACATGTTCTGGGGTTTTATTTTTCACCAGCTGTAGCCTGGTCCCAGGGACTACACACCCATTAGTGGTTGGAACACACTTTCTAATTTTATTCAATCCAACAGGAATCCAGTTTATGCACAGAAGCCACTTGGCTATGTGAGCCAAAGCGCAGTACGTGGAGACAATTGAGAGGTTTTCTTTAAAAGAGTACTCCTCTTGATCCAAATTAAGATGTTAATGCTCATGCATCCAAGAAACCATTTCCTGTGGCTCCACATTCAACTACGGGCACCGTGTCTCTTCTTCTCCGAGGCTGTACAAGTTCATTCTGGTGAGCAGCACAGACCTTGTAGCTTGCTGTCTTCTTCAGAGCCATGAGAGAAAGCAGCACCAACATTTGGTAAAGATATAGCTCCCATTAACGGGAAGGAGGCAACAGAACAAGTACGTGCAGTACATGATACAGGCAAATCTCAAGCCTGGTTGACAGCCCTCTGCAACAGAGCTTCTCGGGGTGTTCCTGGGAAGACTAGAAAGTGCAAAGCCTCCTAACAACATATTTGAAAAAAATTGGCAAATTAAGTTAATTTGAGGATATATTACCTACTAAAGAGATTTTTGGTGATTCTGCTATTGTTCTGGGTAAGGTATATGAAGACATTTAGGCTTTCAAGACTTTCATAACGATTCAAAGTCCAAGCACACAGACTGTTATTGTCTCTTAGGGCCACTTAAGAAAGCTATACACAGCAAGACATACTGAATACAGAGGGACCTCACTAACCAAAACATGAAGAGGTAATAAAACGAACTGAAATCCGTAAAAGTATAGGCTTGCCATTAGAACAGAAAATGATCCTGCCACTTTGCCTCTAACAGCAGCCAGCAGCATATGCTTAACAGAGAAGCTACCAAAGGATTAAATCTTCCCTTTTACTTAGGTCCAATCACTTCTCTCCATTCAAACGGAGATTAATGTTGAACAGAAAGTCCATTAAAAGCATTGTAGTAAGGCTTCTAAGACCCAGTAAGTAAGCTACTGCAGGTCATCAACAGATCACTAGGAAGAAAGAAAAAGCACTGCAGCACATTTAGAAGTCATAAGAAAGAAGCTTAACGCACTATTAACAGGTGAAGAAAACCGCACGTGCAAAATGCTTCACATTAACCTTAAATTCACCAAAAACTAATCAGACAGCAAGAGAATGGGGGAAAAATAGGGAATAAAAAGTGATGGGTACCTACAATAGCATTTTAATGATAACAGGTTTTGTCTGAAGTGTCACATCATTTAAATGTTCTTCAAGCTGAAAGCTGAGTGTCTCTTATCAAAGGAATAGGAAGAAAGAGAAAGCGAATACAAGCCCTAACCTCACAAAATACTCCAGATGGAGCAATCTTACTGATTTTAATGGGAGACACACTGTGCAAGGAATCTGCCTTCGTGGAGACTCTTGGTGAATCCAATAACCTTAAAACTAGAACTAACAGCATTGGTCCCCCCATTTATATAGAGTACTTGGTAGGACTTTAAGTACAAGGCAAAACACTAGAGTTAGTCAGGAATTGTCAGTGAGCTTAAGTGTGGAAAATATATTTATTTCCTTCCAAATTAAATGACATATTTCATTCATAAGGTGAATAAATGCTACAAAAAGTAAACAGCATGTATAACATATAGACTTTACAGCATCCCAAAATTCATCAATCCTGTTCTCTGGTATGAACGTGGCATCAGTACTGCGTCCTGCCACTGTCAAAGGAACCACCTTATAACCCAAATATCCATTTTGATGTTACTCCATTTTTCAGCATGATCTTGCAACTTTGGCCACACATACAGCCACAACCCACAGAGACCATCTTTGAAATCATAATAGCTGTACAATTGTGATCTTTCCTACTTGGCGTAACGGCACTTTGTGGATCAAGATATTTTCTACCCCTTTCCCTTACCATTCTTAGCAGCCCTCAGCAGTGAAAGCCCATATCCCAATTCAATGCTGTCTATTAGCTGATCACAAGACTAGTCAACTCATGCCGAGCAGAAAGAGACACAGAGCTTACCGGACACGCATGTGACAGTCACTGTGCTCACCAGGACCGGTTTGGTCTTGTGAGCAGAACAGATGCTCAAAGTAACAAAGCTCCAAACCACCAGGCTGAGCAGAGTGCTGTCCCCCAGGGTTTAGCACACAGTACCGAGTCAGTATGGGACTGAGGTTAAGTCCTGCAGCAGCAATAGCTGCCAAACCCCACCGTGAGGGATTCGGGGTGTCACAAGCAGAGCGAGCAGCAAAAAGGTACCCGACGCTCAGGGGGTCACCAGACCGCGCACGTGTATTTAGGTCACAGCGACTAACCCATTTTGTGTGATTTTAACCGAGCACGAGTTACCACAGCACTCGCAGGGAGGGCCCGGCTCCTC